GCAGAGCCTATCGTTAACTAGAGCGATTTAGTCGAGCTCGCGAAGCGAGCGAGACCTTAGTTATTTAACAGCCTTTGCGTAGGAGGCCGGTAGGCCTCCGAGCTGCGGGTCTATGCGGCAGAGCCTATCGTTAACTAGAGCGATTTAGTCGAGCTCGCGAAGCGAGCGAGACCTTAGTTATTTAACAGCCTTTGCGTAGGAGGCCGGCAGGCCTCCGAGCTGCGGGTCTATGCGGCAGAGCCTATCGTTAACTAGAGCGATTTAGTCGAGCTCGCGAAGCGAGCGAGACCTTAGTTATTTAACAGCCTTTGCGTAGGAGGCCGTCAGGCCTCCGAGCTGCGGGTCTATGCGGCAGAGCCTATCGTTAACTAGAGCGATTTAGTCGAGCTCGCGAAGCGAGCGAGACCTTAGTTATTTAACAGCCTTTGCGTAGGAGGCCGTCAGGCCTCCGAGCTGCGGGTCTATGCGGCAGAGCCTATCGTTAACTAGAGCGATTTAGTCGAGCTCGCGAAGCGAGCGAGACCTTAGTTATTTAACAGCCTTTGCGTAGGAGGCCGTCAGGCCTCCGAGCTGCGGGTCTATGCGGCAGAGCCTATCGTTAACTAGAGCGATTTAGTCGAGCTCGCGAAGCGAGCGAGACCTTAGTTATTTAACAGCCTTTGCGTAGGAGGCCGGTAGGCCTCCGAGCTGCGGGTCTATGCGGCAGAGCCTATCGTTAACTAGAGCGATTTAGTCGAGCTCGCGAAGCGAGCGAGACCTTAGTTATTTAACAGCCTTTGCGTAGGAGGCCGGCAGGCCTCCGAGCTGCGGGTCTATGCGGCAGAGCCTATCGTTAACTAGAGCGATTTAGTCGAGCTCGCGAAGCGAGCGACACCTTAGTTATTTAACAGCCTTTGCGTAGGAGGCCGTCAGGCCTCCGAGCTGCGGGTCTATGCGGCAGAGCCTATCGTTAACTAGAGCGATTTAGTCGAGCTCGCGAAGCGAGCGAGATCTGGTTGTTTAAAAAATTGATATACGGGGTGTGATTAATTTCCAAACGAAAATTCAATCGCACCGAGCTCGAGAAGCGAACGAGGATCCGGCTAGCAAACTGTCTTGCGGCGAAGCCGCCACCGTAAGGAAGGGGGGTTGAAAGGGGGCGCAGCCCCCTTTCCGAGCTGACAAGCGAGTATATAGATGTAACCCTTGACAGGGGATATAGACTGATTGGCGAGAGAAATTAAAAAAAAGTTTCTGGGGCATTGGGAGGTAGATGGGGAAACGTAAAAAAATTCGCCGATTACGAAAATCTACCTCTTTTCTCCAGCTAAATTCGTTTTTTTTTTGTAATTCGATTTTGAAAGTAAATAAAAGTGAAATTTTTGACACATTTCCAAATAAATTACTTGATGGACGTTGCCCGTTCGTTTGGTTTAAACGGAACTACACCCAAATAAGAGACTTTTTTGTTATTTAGACAATTTCGTCGTTTTTAATGGACGAGAATAAAAGAAAATGCAATAATACGCAAAAATGTACGTTTCTTGGTCATTAGTACTTACCAAAAACGGAGAAACGATCGAATTACTTTTAAAAAAACTACACTTATGACAGCGGCGATGAACAAATTTCAAACTGTCAAAGTTGTCATTTCCGTTACTACGGGATACATTGACATTTAGTTTGATATACAGGGTGTTTTTTCATTAAGAAAATCGGAAAAATTGATATACGGAGCGTTTTTAACATTAAATGAAAAATTATTTTCAATTGAATTGAAATATAGTACAGGGTGACTCGTATTTAAGGAAATGTTAATTATACATAAACCGAGCGAGCGAAGCGAGCGAGGATCCGGCTATATAACTGCCTTTGCGTAGAACGCCGATAGGCGTTCGAGCTGCGGGTCTATTCGGCAGAGCCCATCGTTAATTAGAGCGATTTAGTCGAGCTCGCGCAGCGAGCGAGACCTTAGTTATTTAACAGCCTTTGCGTAGGAGGCCGTCAGGCCTCCGAGCTGCGGGTCTATGCGGCAGAGCCAATCGTTAGGTACAACAATTTAGTCGAGCTCGCGCAGCGAGCGAGACCTTGGTTATTTAACGGCCTTTGCGTAGAACGCCGATAGGCGTTCGAGCTGCGGGTCTATGCGGCAGAGCCCATCGTTAACTACAGCGATTTAGTCGAGCTCGCGCAGCGAGCGAGACCTTAGTTATTTAACAGCCTTTGCGTAGGAGGCCGTTAGGCCTCCGAGCTGCGGGTCTATGCGGCAGAGCCAATCGTTAGGTACAACAATTTAGTCGAGCTCGCGCAGCGAGCGAGACCTTGGTTATTTAAAAAATTGATACACGAGGTGTGGTTAATTTCCAAACAAAAATTCAATCGCACCGAGCTCGCGAAGCGAACGAGGATCCGGCTAGCAAACTGTCTTGCGGCGAAGCCGCCACCATAAGAAAGGGGGGTTGAAAGGGGGCACAGCCCCCTTTCCGAGCGTTCAGCGAGTAAAATAATAATAAATCTGTAGGATGTTCTTTCTGGTTAAATATTTTATCCAGGATGTTAACGGTAACTCTGTAAATAAGCTTCAGGGGACTTGGAGTATTTCGATGGGAACATAAATAAACCCTGTCAGTTTGCGGGCAACTTAGAGAAAAGATTTGCTGAAAATATGTATATTAGCCGATAAAAGGGGTTTTAGTATTTCGGATTGATTCGTAGATTTGTTGGAAAAATTCGCCTTTACAGTAAAAATATGTAAATGTAAAGGTATTTTTCAACAGGAAATTTTACATCCTGGATTTATTTACTGATGTAAACAAAGTATGTATTTCTATTTTTCGTTCGCTTTACTTTTTCGTCTTTGCTCTTTCAAGCGCGAATTTCTGAACTTCGTTGCTATCTCCGATTTTTAAGCTCTTACATGCGCTCCAATATTCTTCTCTCTATGTTCTCATTTATTCATGCATTAACCCTTCTCATTTAGATGGAACTTTTATCAAACGAATTCTAGTGAGTATACTACTAAAACTTCATTAAAAACGCTTGCATTTGATAAAATTTTCTGTCCTTTTTAGATAGGAAAATAGGTCAAAGAACAAAACACCTCATTAGGTTGCTATTCTACTCTACCCCATATCTTTATCCATATTGCTACCCACTTTAATCCAATTCTTATTGTTCCGACTTTTTATTATAAGCATTAATTTTTTATTTGACCTATATTTTTCATATCATAAAATAATATATTACTACATGCATTCTACATATAATATACCTCATTACATATTACATTTATATAATTTTGAAATTAATGTACCTATTATAGAAAATGGGGTATCGTTAGGTATATCTAACTTTACTAAAAGCAGTCCAATAAATTTTACAATAATATATGAGTACTGACAATGAGACGTATCTAACTAAAAAGTAATTAAGCTAATTAATAATTAATGTTTATTAATTTATGTTCGTCTGTAAAATTAAGTGAAAATTAACAACCGATTGTTTTATAAAAAAAAAGAAATATAGTACGTCACTGGTATTTGAATATTCCTCTTGACGGTTCCAATTACAAATTCGGTCGATTTATATAGATATTTATGTGCTTCTGTTCCGCTCAATTTCGATTCCACCGAAACGGTCAATTGGGCGCGAGTGCCGTTCAAAATCGATTAAAATGCACCTACTCAGGTGTTCCAGGCTGGTGTGATGGAGACGCTCCAGTTAATTGACAGTTAGAATGTGATAGATAGGTTTAAATTTGGTTTTTTATGAATCGAATTTTAATTAGTTTATGTAAACTATGTAATAGACTCGGCGATTCACTGATATATTACTTTTAATTCATATTTCTTCAAAGCCAAGAAGGTATTTCTCAACAAATATTTACTATATCGAATTATAAACATCTACAGATTGTGAATGAATAACTTTTAATAAGTCTTGCGTATAATATTTTGTTAACAAAATTTGTAAACTACGACTTTTCAATAAATTATAGTTTTTTTTTATCAAAATTAACATAAAATTACCATTCGAATGGATTTACAAAGTAAATGCCTGTACCTCCAATACTCAAGCATATTTTTACTATTTTCGACAAATAATAATGGAACGTGCATGTGTAAAGTACGAAATATAAATTTTATTTACTTGCACGCGTGTTTCATAGTCATTAAAATAATTCTGTTTGGGGCCCGTTTAGAGGAAATTAATGTAAAAATTAAAAATTCAGTTAAATGGACGATTGATTACGAGGAAGGTATTATAATGTGACCGTGCGCATCACGTTTATGTAAATTCGAATTTCGGCTATAAATGTTTTATCTTAGAAATTTAAAACTGGTCTTTTAAATTGATGGTCGCATTTAGAATAAGACGCGAAAACATGTATTTTAAGGAAAATAAATTACCGTTTCTTGTTGGCTTTTTATTGTCACATTTATAAGATTCTATTAACGGCTGTTTCCCACTTTATGTAATAAAATACATTGTACCAGAAAATATTAAAAGGATACTTCAAGAGGGTTAAATGATCCTTTCCAGTTAATATGACACCCTCTTTTAGTATATCGAAAGTTATAATTACTTAAGCGTGTATAAGAGTCTAGTGTCAACAATAAATTCTTGTTTTAAGTATCACTTATTAAGTTGGTAGACTTTTTGACAAAAAATAGATAAGAAATGTTTTAACTCATATAATTATTAAAATTACTATTTGTATAATAGACTGGAACGAACTATTAGAATTAATTAAAAAACGAATCTACTGTTAAGCCATTAAACTTGTATCGTTGTCTTGTCACATATAATTATACTTAATACATTTTTTTAATAAATGCTTTGTATATGTATAATATTCGTTTGTGTTTTTAATATACGTATTTTCAGAAAAATTATTAATTCACATATCACATCACTTTATGGATTAACTGTTTAGTAAGCGCGAAGAGTTGTTACTGGTAATGATATATTATTTAATACTGAGTAGGTACACTATAAGTACACACTATAAGTAAACACGTTTTACATTTTTTATTTTACCCATAAACATTGAGGAAATGTAATAAATTTTATTCATCATTATCTGTTAACAGAACCACATTAGGAATACCGTACAAGTAAACTGTGCCTATAAAAAAATATAGTCATTTTCATGAAATAATTATAATGGACTTTTACATTATTCTATGAGAAAGAAATATTTTTACTCTTTTTTGATCTTTTGCATATACGTCTTGTTTATATCGTCCAATTCGTTTAAACACATTATAGTCATTACGCTGAGATGCTCTATCAATTCATTTAAAACAGATTCAAAAAAAGCGACTATACTTTCAACGAAAGCAATTACATCTTCCTCTTTTAAATTTTCAGTGGCCGATATTGCTGTTTTGCTAACGGACTGAATTATAGCAGATGACGTGGCCCACACGGTAGTTAAAGTTTGCTCGGTGTCCATTTGCACCTGTTTGACCTAAAATAGTCAAGTTGAAGTTTAATTTTGTATTAATTATATTAGTTTGTTAAAGTTCTTCCAATTTTGTGGGTTCGCCATACCTGTATGGAAGCTTCAGTAAAAATATCTTTGATCAAGCATTCCGAATTAGTACCCTGTTTTTTAATTGTCTCATCGACCGTCTTTTTAACTATGTCAACGACTTCTTCCATTTGCTTTCTACTGGATTCTAAGACTTCGTCGAATTTCGAAAGAATGTCTTCTTTTAAAGCTTTCAGAGTTTCTTTGACTATTTCCAAGTCATCTGTAGTGGTTCTGTTGCTCATGCCTTCTTAACACGAGCAAACATGTATCATGAGGCAGTTAAATAGACGAAAATTTAGTGGTTACATTTAGAACGAGTTAAAATAACAAAATAATTGTCAACAGTAATGAATACAACTTGTCACTATTCATCGCTGCGTTTAGTTTCTATCTTTAATTAACCTAAAAACAACAACGCTGATATGTTGACTTTTCGTTGTCAAAAACATCAAAGTAATTAACAACAACTTGAAATTACAGTGCCTAATGACAATGCCTAAAAAATGTAAAGATATCGTAGAAGTTCGCTTGGAGAGACGCAGGGATTACGTAATAAAATGCTTCAATCAAATCGTGAAAAAAGCGACCAAGAGAATATACGGTATCCATAACGAGCTGAGACTAATTATCGACGAGTTAGATTACCGAATAGAAGTGGAAACGTGCCAGCTCATCAATGAGGTGGAAATTCGCTTGCACGAAATCAAAGTAGCCACGAGAAACATGATGCTCGCCGAAGGGTTGAATAGAACGATGGCCGAAAAAGAAGTTACCAGCTTGTACGATAAGCTCAACGAATATATAACAAACGTGTTCGAAAGAATAAAGAAATATATCAGCGATTTGGGCAAGTCGGTCGACGATGCAAGGAAACAGGTTAGGTAGGATAGACTTCTGCCACTTGAAACAGATGAGTTAATTTCACTCGCAAAACTCCATTTTATCCCGTTTCAATTACTGCAATCAGCGCTCGTTTTAGATCAACATCATTTTGGACGAAACGCCGGACGTCGTGATGAAAATTTGGGACCAAAACAAAGACCAAATGGAACTGATTTACGCCAAAGATATGGACATCATCGGCCCGAGGACGCTCAATTACGAGTATCTCATCGATTTGACGGAGAACGCCATCGCCGATATTCTGGCCCCTTTGCCACCGTTGGCGCCGGTTTTGTTCGAAGAAGAGCAATGCTTGTACCAGGAACTCAACAAGAAATTAAAGAATGCATTAGCCAAAGTGCAAAAAATCAAAGAGGACAACTTTGCGGTAGCCGAAAAAATGAAGAAGGATATCGAAAATCAAAAGAAGTGTAAATAAGTAATAATTAATGTGGGAATTACAACGATATTAAACATACATTAATCCATAATGCGTCTTATTAGGTTTAATAAGGCCGGGTAACTGCAGATGGTTTATTTATTGAGAAAATAGCAACGAAGGATTTGTTGAAATTGCAGTCGTAGGTAGATAAATAATCTCTTGGTAACATAGACCTGTTACATGTCTCATGAAAATGTACATAGTTCAACAATGTATAGTCCACTTATCACAAAGTAAAATTATGCAAAGATGAAAGGTACCTTCATTTTTAACACCCTGTCTTATTTAATTGTCCTTTACATCAACTCTGTCCTATTCATATATGGCATCATTTGTCTCATCGACTTTGACAACGAATGTTTGAAATCATTTAAATTACTCCACATTTTGTAACGTAAAATTTTCAGTAAACACAAATTCAAGCTCAAGATACCTAACCAGCTTTAATTTAGTTAAATTTAATCACCACATTCGCACACAATGGCCGCTGCTAAGAAGGTTGGCCTGGAAGTCGAGATTGAAAAATTACGCGACCAGTCTCTGGTAGTTTTCAGAGGTTTAGTCGATGAAGCCGTTCAGAAGATGAACAAAGCAGATGAGGATTTGAAGAAGCAAATGTCCGAAGAAATGAAGAAAGTCCAGAAGGATGCTACTGCTTTGGATACTTTGTGCAGGGACACCCAAACGAAGGTAAAAAGAGAAACTTATACATAATCTAATAAGGTGTAACCTTAATAAAAGTTAAGTGGTTAATTGTGGTTTAAATGAAATATAATAACTAAAGAAGTATTGGGAATCCTATATTGGTTGCAAGGAGCCGTTGAATTCGAGTTGATAGGGATTCTCTGTAGGTATAGTATAGGGATAATTTGTAATTAGACGATCGAGAAATAGTCCAAAGCTTAACGCAAAATCGCCTTTTAGATCGTAGAGACTCTTAAGGAAGCCATGGACCAAGTGGATCAAGGATGGAAAGTCGCGGGTACTGAAATGCAAAACGTAATTACAAAAACTCAAGAGATGATGGGCCAATCTGCCAGTACCGTAGAAAAGTTTTCTAAGGAATTGGACGGCCAATTAAAGGAATACAAAAAGAGATTGGAAGAGGACGCTGAAAGACAGAAGGCCGAAGCGCAGAAACTCGCTGATGATTTTAAGAAAGCGGCCGCCGGCGCAAAGTGAATGAATGTATCAGATTATTATTGACAAAAAATTGTAATTAAAATCAAACGGCAGATGTGCCCGCTATGTTTCCGACAACATATTAAAATCACGAATAAATCCTTAATAAAAAGCGAAATTTTTATTTAAAACATTCCTATCAAAGGGTAAAATGAAGAGTTTAATTAATGCAGCTCGCGAAGTATTTTAATTAGGAAATATTAACAAAAGTTATCAACGGTAAATTCAAGTTTAATTTGGGACCGTATTTCGTATTTTCATCAAAAAATTTCTTAAAACCTCAATAATTTTGTACAGAAAGGAAATATTCATTTTATAGATCGGCCGATTCTCACAGGAAGCATTGGAGGGCATAGAGAAAACGTGGAGTTGCGTACGGGACGCTATCGAACAGCGCTATAAAGAACAATCGTACGTTTTTGGCGTTCGATCGGGATACATCGAGAACTTTATAGGTTTATCGGAGATTAAAATTCGGGACCTATTGAGCACCATTCAAAACCACGAGGCGAAGCGTGATAAGGAAGTGGCCCGAAGTGTTTATAATTTCAAAAAGAAAGTGTGCGAAGAAAAGAGAACTAAAGAAGAACAACAACAACAGTAGAGAAGAACTAAAACTTTAGTATACTTCAATTCTAAATAAAAATCGTTACATAACAAATAAAATTTATAACGGCAATTTTTAAAATGTTTTATTTCAATGTATGATGAGTTAACTCATGCGAAAATAGTAACAATACAAAAAATACGAATTCTAATAATGTGAAATTACAATATTTGATTATTAATGAGCATTGGAAGATCAAAGCAGAGCCAATTCATATTTTATTATGAATATAACAGTTACGGCAACAAAAATAACACATTCAAAAGAGCGTGAAAAATGTAAATAGAGTGCTAAACACGTCCTTTATAAACTCGTTAAATTTTTTACAACGTATTGTTTTTATTGTAAACATAATATTATTTATTGAATAAACTTAATAACCTAAATTATTACAATGTGATTTTACGACTGGAATATTTATTAATATTCGATAAATTTGATCGAAATTAAGATAGTAGACGAAGCCAAAACACTTTTATTGTCACCGTGACTCTAAATTTAATCCATATAAAAATACCTGATTTATAAATAAAACCCAAAAACAATTTCATAAAATTAATTTGAAACGTGGAGTTACTCCCAACCTACATACTTCAGAAATTGTTTAAACAATATCGAAATATCACATTTTAGTACTATAAAAATGCAACATTGTAACAATTTCTAAATTAAAGTCTTTAAGGCTTAATGCTATGTTAAACGCATTTTTATTACCGGTACAACGGATATTTTACTGCAATCTATTCAAAGTTTTCTCTCGGCATTTCGAATTTAAGGACCAAGCTGCTGAAATGTTGCTTACCTATTTGTTTTTTAATCTCACAACAGTGTAAAAATTTAACCAATAAATGATAGAACAAATTGAATAAAAAAATTAAACACCTTTATTCTTATAACATATGAAATAGTATCTTATCGGTAATAATGTATTTTGCAAAAATTGTGATTGTGTATAAATTGAGAAGCATCTAAACAATTCTGACCTCATTGCATTGTAGCTTCCATAACAATGGCATAGAAAATGAAAATGTGTAATGCCATAACAAAAAAACAAACAAAAATTCTTGCATGTCATTTACGTACGTTTTCCAACAAATGTATTTCAACGATTTTACTACTTCCCGCAAAAACCGGATAAGAGCCGGAATATCGTCCTTTACGATTATGCTTTTTTCATAAAAAAATTTATGCGAAACCTATAAAAGCGAATACATAAATCCTTTTGGTATGAAAAATTTGTTTCGTGGTTTTTTGTCGAATAATCAAGAGAATGGGCGGTGATCAAAGGAAGCTGCCTTGTCGTTCTAAATGAGATTTATTCTGGCCCAAATTTATCCCGGTTAACAGAATTTATTTAGTTTCTTTTCGCGCACAAAGATTTTTTGTCGACACAAAAATTATATTTCGCGGATTCGGAACATTCGGCGTTAAAAGCTCTTCGATTTGGAGTTAGACCGTTACGAATGTGATGGATTTTCTTTCACTTTGGCTTCGCAATTATACATACCTCAATTATAATTCCATGATTGCAGGCTCCATGTAAAAGAGTTTAATTATTTTACAAACGTTCTTGATATCCCTTGAACTTGTGTGAATGAACTTGATGAACTAGTTGAATATAGATGAATGAAGTTAAATAAAATTAATAGTGCAACAGTAGTAAAAATAAAAAATGAGTGTAGTAATCGGAATGGTGGTATTAATTTATGGAATTTCGCTCATTTAGAATGAATTTTCTTGTTAGTTGCGGGTACCTAAATTTCAATTTGTTGCCTGTCAACCTTGATAATAAGAAGGTATTTTTATGGAGCATAATATATGTATTTCCTACTTGTGTATGAGACGAAATTACTTGTTTGTCCATTTATGGACCAATCATATTTAACCATTGCACGAGTTACATCGTGGAGGATTAAAAATTCAATGAAATGCCAGTTCAATTATCGAACGTCCTTCGACAACATTTTTAGATAAAATAAAAGATGTAATTAAAATTGTACAGGTCTGAATTTTACCACTACATTCTTAGTATTCTACGTATTTTTTATCCATTCGAAACCGAAAAAGGCATTTCAAGTTGATGCTACTTCGACTGAAACACGAAATTGCACAATATATAAAACGAATTTATTTTTCTATTTAGATTTTTTTGAAATAATTGATGCGCCTAATTAGACAAGCATGCTGCCCATTTCCATATCTTCATTTCGCTTCTACATTTAAAAATACTTTCTATCTATTTAAAAATGTAACATATGTTAAATATTCGTCGTATAAGGCAAGCTGAACATTCCTTAATCAATCTATTACATTATGTTATAAGTTGTATAACAGTCCCGAAGAATAAAGAATCTTGTACATCCAAATTAGTATTATAATTTTTAATTGATCATCTTTAAAAATACACCTATACTCTTAAATTCTCAAAATCGAACCTAATGAATTAGTAAATTTAATTAATGATTAAATCCACACATCCACATCCTATTCGAGCTAATAGCACACGAATTAAGCAATTTTATTGTCATTTTAATCATTTAATAACTCGTTAATTTAATTTATGTAATCGCATTAAGAGACGAAATAATTGTTTATGAATTAATGTTATTGAACTTATAGACGAGCATGCGAATAGCTTTAATTGCTCATTGCTTATTCTATTTTAATCACCTATTGTTTACGTTTTATGCAAACTTTGAAGGACGAATGTACGCACAGGTAATACATTACGTTCGAACGACTACGATATAATACGATATGTAGGAGAAAAATGAATGATCCATGAGATAAATCTCTCTCGCTGTACGAGCAAGCGTAAGGGATCGCACATACGGTATAATTTCGAGCATAATTTAATAATTTAGCGGGTTTTCGGGATGTCAATGTCAAGGATGTAATTCTGTACGGAATATTAAGTATTGCATCGATAAGAAAGTTAATGGACTCACGTTCTACCAATTAATAACTCCCACAATTGGGTTATCAAAGCACAGCTTCAGCGGTTGGTTTACTTTATGTTGAATTGAATTCTATGCATTGAAGTACAAATTCGTAAAATAAATAGGTATCGGAAATCGAGTTTTCCTGTAGAATAAGCGTGGCATAAAGAATAGCATATATATTTTATCCGAATCATGAAAAAATATTAGGAATATGTAGATAATTGTGTTATTTTTAATGTAGTATCTCTTCCAATAAACCGCCAAGCGCAAATTTTCTAATATGTTTCCTTTTATCTTATTTTTGTTTGGCATCGTTATCGTATTTGTAGTAGGTAATACACATCATTACACAAGAACGCCTAAAAAATGATCGATTTTTGGTGTAACATAGTGCTCACTGTTTTCCATAAAATTCGAGAAGTCATTAGAAAAATTAATCATTTTCCGCTTATCCTTCGCAACCATCTAACGGATGATGGAATATGAGCAAGATTAATTACATATTAGATTAGACACCGTTTTCGATATGTGCTAACAAATATTCGGGAAATCCAGGCGTACTTTCGAGTGAAAAATTGCGTAATTTTTAAGCGGTCCTAAGTAGGTACAAATTGAAACTGATAAAAAGCTAGACAGTTTCGAATTTATCGCCTAAATTCGATAGGATTCTTCGTTTATTCAGCTCATTTGGAACCCTACTCTAATTATATCTTTTAGGTATAAAGAAAAGAACTCGATCGACTTCTAAAAGGTCAGGTGTAATTAGCTATAACAAAATCACACTCTGAAAACTTCTTATTGTTCTTCGACAAAAAAGAAAAGTCTAACGAACCCACAAAATAATTGCCCGGAAACATTGGCGGAGAAGCCGCATCTGAAGAAACATAATTAGATAAACTAAAAGGACATTAGCATATAAAACAATTGGTTTTCCAATAAAAAAATGCGGGAAATTTTGGTATAAATTCTTGGTGCACGCGAAAGCAACCAAACAATAAATGAAACTACGCCCTTGTTACCGAACAATTACTGTCCCCTTTTTATCGAATTAATTTAGTGGCAATCCTTTATACTTATCTGGTTCATTTCGGGAAAAGTGGAGCAAGACTGGAATGGAATAACAAAAATTAGGACGATGCTGACGGAAGTGGAGCTCCTCCTAGAGGATCCTCGAAGATGTATGGTCTGCTAATACGAATATTTGTTTGCAAAGAATATTGGTGCCAGTTTTTTTGTGGAATCTACGTTTAATATTTTAAAGTAGTTGAAGGAACTTTGTACGGACGATTATGTCAATTTTAGTAGTAATTTATGCAGTTCCGTGACCTTTGTTTTTATTAAAATTGTATTTTTTCTTTGGTTATCAACCTACTCATCGTCTTCCTTTTATTGAATCCTTGTGTCCGAATAATAATCAAATGTGGTATAAAAAATTGATCGCTTGTTGTGGGAGAACAAATTTCCATTAATAATATGAAAAAAAAATTTACAACTATATGGTGTAAGTAAACTAGTTTAAACTTATTTTTAATAATTTAACAGTATTCCTAATAATATTATTTATATAGCGATTCATAAACTTTATCATTTTATTGAAACTATACAACATTTGTGCATATACATACATTGTAAATTATTATTGGATTCCATTCTTCAAGTAGACAATATTGCATTTTATATTAGTTTTGTTAAAAAAATTAGAATATATCTATAGCTCAATACTAACAAAACTATAATAATATTCAGAATGATATTAATGCACATATGTAGATAAATACGTGCCAATTTATATTTTAATAAAATAATCTATATTAATAAATCTGATACATTAATTAATTAAAACCGATCAGTTTTTCTATTAATTCTGGGAATTATTTAGGCTACATTAATTTGCCCAAAATGTGGTTAAATTTACTACTAAATTAAGTAATTTTAGTCAAATATAATATATATTCGCTGTAATATTTTTTAAATTTATTTGCAAAAGTGAATTTCATTAACTAAATCCAATGTTATATGTATTTATTCAAACGAAAATGGCACCTGAAAGTTTGGAGTATACATAAAGTACAAAAATTAATGATATTTTGAGTAGTAACGACAATAATCTGTTAACAAGAAAAATATTAGAAACTGTAAAGTGTTCTAATATTCCTTACAACCTAGCACGTAACATTTATTTAAATGCACTCTGAATGGGGTCATTTGATACTTGAATTAAAAAGTAGTTACTTTCATTCTAAACAATGGTAGTAATAAATAATTTTACCTGTCTATTAAATTTAGTAAATAATTCTACATTTATTGTAATATGTGTAAAAAAATCGGCTATATACAACATCACCTGTCAACATAAATATCTCGTCACATTACAGCCAATTTTTCTAACACTCAACATGTGTTTTCACTGGACATCAAGTCTTTTTTCACCTGAATTGAAAAAATTTCAAGGTTCGGTTTAAAATTAAATTTTCTAATTTTATTGATATGGACTTTACATTGATTTTGTTTAAATTATCTCAGTCTATCGAAGCTTCAATACCCATTAATCTTGATTGCTTGTATTTTAAAAGAATTCTCCACAAAAAAAATAAAATTCCTCTAAGCCTTCTTAAAATACATAAAATTTTCCATATGCCAAAATATGATTTAATTTAGTTATGCTTTTAATGGATAGTGCATACCTACTTATTAGATATAATACATTTTTTATTAACTTATTAATTATATATAATTTAACCACTATTATGATAGTACAACGAAAGTAATTGTCAATATAATTTGAAATAAATTGCTACTTTTCATAAATGAAACAAAGAAATTATAGTTTTTATAAATAATAATTAGGTTTCAAAAACAAACATAAGAAAGTAAAGGGCATAATTTAGAAACATTTAATTCCCTCATTTGTAATGTGCTTAATCGTTTGGACAAAATGTCGATTATCGCAGGATTAACTAAAGACCGTTTGATATTATTTTGGCAAGAACCGTGTTGCTGGATTCAAAGAGTAAACAAAATGAAATATTGACTTATTAACTTACAGCTGTTGTAGTGACAATTATTTTACTCAGGAACCCATAATATCCTCTTAATTTATCACATCTTACGAGTGACTAAAATAATAGCGTTTATTAATATATTTTTGTTTTATTCTCACATCTCCCAAAATAAACAATGAAATAAAATATTTATCATGTACTGTAGTCTATTATTCTATCTAAACTTTCTCTGCTGTACCTAGTATTTCAAAATAATTGTATTGTATTGAGTTGGAAAAAATTATTACATTTCATAAAGAGCGAACTCTACAAGGTTTCAATTAGATGATCAATTTGATTTTCAATTAATTTTAACTAGAAATGGGACAAACTACTTGCAATGTGTACATATTGTAATTGGTATGGGTTTGAATGACAATGTTACATTTAATTAAACGTGAATATTATAGATGATTTCCAATAATTTTTGTCGCCTCAAAATCCATTCAGATGCGAAATATATCGAACATTATAGTTGCGTATGTTATTGATGGTCAATTTAATTAATTTCGATATTTTGTAACCACTGTGCCTATACAAAACATGATTTAATTATAGTGAACCTAAATTAAAAAATCGTCCATTTCTAATTTGTTTATATTTTCTTTCATAAAAAAGTGTTTGTCAATGTTTCACGTGGTAACGTAATTTTCTGAAAATTAATATTAAAACGGTTTTTTAATAAGTAGGTATAGTAGGTATTGATTTTGAAAATTGAACGACAGTAATAACAAAATATTATGAATAATTTTGTTTCATCTACATTTACAAGGAAATAGTTTATACAAATTTCAGTAAAGAGCTATTGCATGTAAACGAATCTAAAAAAAAACCCCACGTAATTTAATGAGATACATAAAATCCACCTAACGACTCGTTTTATAGGTGCTACTTATTATAAATAAATCCTACCCACTGAATGCACTAACACATTAGATTTACAATAAAATCAAAAACTTACGTTAAAGTTAATTTTCTCCTCAACTGGCACCCATCAGCAAACATACACCACACGAAAACCACCAAAATATTTCGTCACTTCGAATGGACCATCAAATTTTCCGGATCGGAAAAACTTTCTGCGAAAATCTTTGCGCGCTTTTCAAACGTTCCGCTGGTTCCTCGATCGCGGGCACTGCGTACGCGTGAGGCCGGCGTTTCCGTGCGATGCGGCGAACACACTGACGAAGCTATGCGCCTCCATTTTCATCGGAGCCCTCCAAATTCGGAGGAGTTTGGTGTCCGACAAAGCCGGCGGAGTCTTGTTGCTTGCTCTGCCCCGTGCTCGATGGTGCAGTAGGTGCTTTGAAGTATTCCGGGCGCAAATTGTAAGAATAGTTGGACCCGGAGGAACGGTGGAATCCGGCGGGTGAACGGGTCCCGTTGCGGCTGCAGGAAGGGGTTTTGTTCCGAGGAATGAGGTGTGTAGCTCTCCAGGTGTAATATAATTCAATGGGTGATTGGAAAAAGGATAAAATTCCAATGAATTTTATTTTTGGGAAATACGTTTGCGACGAAACCGTTAATTTAATAAAAATCGTTACTATTCGACATTTGTACGCTTTCATAAAGTTTGATGCCAAATTTTGATCGGAATGCAACTATTGGTATTTGCAATTACAAAAATTTATCATTTTTTCACTTAAAATGCCAAAAATAGTTCAAAATAACAAAACTGTTTTATTTTCGACATCTTCGCACGTTAATTAGTCATTTTACCTAAAACTTGAAATCTGGTTAAAATTCCAGGAATATTATCCTTTTTCCACTCACCAATAAAATTTTGATGTGAAGGGGGCCGGTAATTTTATTATTTTTGCGCTCAGCGGGAATACAGGGTGTTAATGAATTGAATGTCACTACTTCAGTATTTAAATATGTGTATGATTTTAAGAAAAAAAAATTATATCAATATATGTCCTAAACCTCTTAGTTTTTGAGCAACAGGGTGTTACAGTTTTAGAAAAAAATTACTTTTTTATCATGATTTTCTTATTACTCCTGATATTTTTATGAAATTTCGGACGTGGACGTAACTGGTCATAGTAGAAAAATAATTTTTGTCCAACAAAAAAAAAAGAATTAATGCATTGTGGGCGCCTATACCAAATTTCAACAAAATATCACAGTCTCAATAAACTTGGGATAAAATTCTTTTGGTATTTATTTTACGCGAAAATGGTGCGTCGTTCGAAAGTAAATCTTCTGACCAAATTTGCTACAAAATAAATGAAGATTTTAAAAATAATTTTGGTTTTTTGGAAAAGCAGTGGCGTAAGTACCATTTTTCCTCAAACATATTCAGCTCAAACCCCGTACGGACGTCATTGATAAAAATAAAAAAAAATATTTGGCCTCAAAAAATGCTTCTTAATAATTAAAAAGTGGGTACAAACTTTTCTTCTTAAAATCATTTAAATATTCACATCTTGAAGTATCAGCATTCAATTAACACCCTGTATAAGAGAAATTAGAACAAAATAGCTATCTCACTTTAATTCGCCATATTTTTGGAATTTCATCCTTCTTTCAATCACCCATACAATCGATATTCAGAGGAAGGGATAGAGGAATTTTATTTAGATTTAAGTCAATATTATAATCAAATAAATCCGGCGTAATGAAGAAAAATAATTTATTGGTAACGAAGAAAATATACAAAAGTCCTTTAATATTTGGTAAATAAATCACAAAACTAAACAAACAAAAATAGACGGATTCAAAACGTAAAATATAAATAAAAAAAATACCCACGAAGATTTACAATCATTCGTAGATAAAGTTGCTCAAATTTTTAATAAAATATACAATGAAGCCATAGAGCAGTGTACATCGACCCTATTTTTTATTATCAGTTTACAATATACAGGGTGTCCCGCATAAGAACCGATACAGGGAAGGGGCGTGTAGAAAGATCAAAATTGATCAATTGACCTCTCCTATCGATTAATGCTACAAAGTATTTATGAATTATACTAAATTTAGTTGTTTTAAGTTTGAGTATTACTCAGATATTTTTTTAATTTGTAACTCCACTTTGAAGGCATATAACTTCTCAGGAATGTAACTTTGTATTAAGTTAAGCTGGGTTAAACAGCATATTTTGGACTACCACTTTCCTGTGTCGGTTATTACGCGGGACACCCTGTATTTCAATATCAGAAAGTATTGCTTTTTATTAGTGGATATGATATGCAATTGTTAAGTACAAATTTTTCTTTCGAAAAATTGGAATATCCGCCAATTTCTACTTGTTTTCGATTAGAGAGATGCCCCGTAACAAATTATTCGACATTCCAACTAGAATAATTCGTGAAATAAAGCGAAATGATTTCCACAGAAAACAAAATCCCATGATAAACTTACAACAGGTAATTGCCCATTTGAAACCAGTAAATAAAATGGGTCAATAAGTACTCAATAAGGCTAATATCTTATTCATGAAGCTCGTCTAATCAATGCGGTCTCTTAAATAAATGGTCTCCAATCTTCTTCGAAGGAGAGCTGTCGGGCGTGCTGACTAATTTCGGTGGTGAAATGCGCTGTCCCCTATTCAAGGGTCGCTTGCCCACGTCAAGAATGTCACGGATGTGCTGTACAATAAGTTCTATAGCCACTGGAAAATTAAAGTTTCATTGATCAGATAAACGTGTTTCGTTTCTTTCAATAGGCCGTATTAATAAAAATAAACATAACCTTTTCATTCCAAAAAATGAAGAAATATTCCTTGAATGTATATGCATAAAAAGAAGTGAAGGAAGAAGTTATACTTCGAGGACCCTGTTTCCGTATTTATAAAAAGGAGCAATTGCATAAAAAGAAAATGATTTGCTTGTAAAAATGGAATATAGATTCACAGCAACTTTTCACAATATTTTCAGTAATTACTCAGCCATCACACAGCTTGTAACGTAAAATTATTGTGTATTTTGGCTGTGATTCCCCAGTTTGTTATGGCTGACAGGGTGCATTTACGTTAGAGCTGCCTACAATCATTTAGAACGCAATAGAATCAACTAGAATTGTCTAAAATCATTTAGAACTGTCTAGATAAATCTAGAAGGCTCCAGAATCATTTCGAACTGTTTATAATCATTTAGAACGCTCCAGAATCATTTAGAACTGTCTAGAACAATCTGGAATGCTCCATAAACATTTAAACACTCTCCAACCATTTAGAACGAACCAGAATCAACTAGCTGTCTGGAATGATTTAGAACTGTCGAAATCAATTCAAAACTCGCCAGAATCATTTAGAACTGTTTAGAATCATTTAGAACGTTCCAGAATCAGTTGGAACTGTCTAGATCAATCTAGAACGCTCCAGAATTATTTAGAACTGTTTAGAATCATTTAGAAATTGCTAATCTCTGTACCATTTACTTTATTTCAAAGCAAATCATTTTCCCTTTTAGTTTTTGCTTCTACCTTTTACTTCAAAATAAATGCTTCATTTCTATAAATATGAACTATTAACTAATGTGATTAGATCGAAACGGGATGTGTAAAAAAAGTAAAATAAATTAATAGCATATCGTTTCAAAAATTATATTTGCTAGGAATCGCACAACGGGGATCGTATAGAAATTAACGATTTAAAGATATTTATTAGAAAATTAGCAAATTTTGGAAGAACGTATTCGACATTTATAAGCCAATTTTTAATAAATACATCTAAACGTTGTGTTATAAACGTACATTTAAATTCTTATTCATTTAGTGTTATGTATAAATTACAATTGACAAAACGGTATATTTGAGAAAAATATTGGGCAGTCTTAAGTATCTATAAAATCGGTTTTAATATATAAAAAATATTACAAAAATGAGGATTACTTTCGTGATGTTATATAAATTCGCAATCAGTCAATAGTAACCATATAATTTTAAATTGTGAATAAATAGAATTAAATTATGGTAAGTGATGTTTTATAAAAGGTATAAAAATATAAGATTAAATTCCATGTAGTTTTAATGGAATTATTAATCAGAATATTTTTAAGGCATTGGGGTTGTTGAATAATTAAAATTAAATTGTTAAGAACAGTAACTAGAATCAATGGATAAAAACAAATTATTAGGAAACTATAAGATTAGAGATTACGTTTATTTTGTATGTGCTTAACATTTAAATATGCTTCCATTAAATTGTAGATTTTTAGAGGGTATCCTATCAATCTAACACTGATATACAACCAGATATTTAAATTCCGTCGAATATTTGATTAAAAATGGAAATGCAACTGAATCAAATCTAATAATACTAAATTTGCATCTAAAAATGCTAAAAATTTGGTACGCCGATAATTTAATGGCCTATCGCCCCATATTCACCAATTTCGGCTTATCAACCTGATAACTGTCAGTCTGATAAAATTTAACAGTCGATTAACAATATTGGTTATTCACCACGACATTTGAAGTAATTTAACTGATAGTAAACAGGCAGTTTTCTTAAAAATAGTTAAGATCAAGTTGGTATGATATAGTTCCTAAATTCATGCGGAACTCATAATCACAAATTACTAAATTAGTATAAATGTCAAATTTGTATATTTGAGGAAGTAAATAACTATAATTGCCGTATTCCAGGTTATTCCATCTAACCGAATTTTTCTTCAATCTGAACCTATTTTTAAATTATATTTGGGAATATTTCTATCTACATATTTATTATCTATTTCTTTCACTATCTTCAGAAGATGAATTGAACAATTCGTGAAACTCTATTCTATTTAACTGCTCTATTAAATTAGATATAAAATATAAAATTAAAATGTTATATGTCACCGTTAAATTGTCGTAAAAACATTGACAATTTCGACATTTGGACCGAAGTTATCACTCTGTTACTTCTTCCATCAATTCGATTTTGCTCCGTTACTTTTATCTGACTGTTAAGTATTAACTGACATTGGTGAATGCCAAAATAAGACGTTAACAGATTGATAAGAATTTATCTCTCTGTTAGCGATTTAACAGACATTGGTGGATATTTTACTAAAAGTTGACTCATCACAACCGTATAACCAATACTAAAATTAATCATTAATAGCTATCATTTAACCCAAAACTATATAAAAACTGAACTTATATTCTACTGAGGTTTGTGGTAATCATACATAAAATAACAAAATTTAATTTATCATTAACCCTCGAATAGTCGCGCGAAAAGTTTTAACATGGGTAGTCGCGTCGGTCTCACAGACCGTAGGTCCCCAAATACATAGCAGAATGTACTTTTAAAAAAATACATGTGGGGGTTGTTTAAATAACAATGACTAACAAAATGACTAAAAAAAGTCCTTATTGCTATGTTTTCTAGCTTGATTTTTAGAATAATTGGTAAACAACGTTTATAGTCGGTCTCACAGACCGGGCGCGACTATTGGAAGGGTAAAAATACATAAAATCTGCAATTGTAAAGTAGAGGTAATCAAAACTTAAAACTCGAGACTTGAAAAAAATTTCTCGCACGGCAAGAAACTTTTATGAGAAAAAAGATTAAATGTGGCAAAAAAAAACAATCTAGCTAATAAATTAATAAAAAAAGTATTACCAACTAAATGCAAATTCTACCACTTGATTTAAGATCTTTCTAGACTATTTCTGCGGTAAAAATCGAATACAAAAAATAAAATTAGAATTTTCAATAATGCACCGTTGTCAGGAATGTTAATGATCAGGAGGGTACAATGAGGGAGTTGAATGAGCTTAGAGAAAACAGAAAAAAAAACTATATGAAGATAATTTCTTCTAATAGCTATCAGTCGCCCTCATTCTTGGTTGAAAACCGTTACGTCGTTGGCCGTCTTGTAAAATTTCTCGGATGTGGTGAACTATCAGGTTAATAGCCACTGCAACAGAATGTCCAAAATCAATTTTTTGCGCATGCCCAATATCACAATATGTCTCAAACAACACATTATTTTAATGATAATTGGCCGTTTGTAGATAAAGAAACGATCGTGATCAAGTTATTGTGCGTTCAACTGAGACATACTGTACAGAAATATTTAATAAATATAAGCAACATCCATGCACATCTTTCTATTCATTATGTTATTTACAATATGCGACATTCAAAACGAATATGTTGTAAAATAGTTATGGATACATATATATGAAATTGCAGTGACTATCACCTCTCACCATAAAAGCTTTTAGTGGATAAATAATCAGAAAGCACGACATACTAAACAAAAATGGGAATATTTGTTATTCACTTTTGTATGTTTATTGCATTCTTCCAAAATTAAAAATTTGCAATTATGCATAGCTGAAGATGATTTTGAAGAAAATATGTATACAGAAATATCGTAGCATCCCAAAAACCATCTTAATTACTTAAAAACGCCTTTAAATTTTGTTTGCAGGTACATTAGAAATAGTTGTTATTTATACAAAGGTCATTTGTAACTAACTGGATTTTATTGGTAAAAAATAAAATTAAAACAATGCTTGGGATTTTGAGTAATTAATCAGAAATATAGAATTTTTACTTACCAGAATTATCAGCGCCCCTAGGGATGACAACATCGGCAAATTGTTTCGTCTATAATGAAAATAATTGATTAAAATTATGCTTATTTAAGTTACGGGTGAAGTTAAGTAAACGACTAAACCTAGGTTTACCTGGGTAAACTATGATGTACAGGTAAGGTAAGGTAGGTTTCAAGTAGCGTAATGGGCATAACATCCCAAAAAACCTAACCTACCCTACACTACCCATTTTTCTTGGGTATTTCACAGTTTACCAGGGCAAACCTAGATAAGTCATTTATCTAGCTTTATCCGTAACATATTGTATGGTCAATTTGAGTTTGCAATATGGTCATTTCTATGAGTGGAACAAAGAAAGATTATTAAAATAACAGTTGTCAGAGTGTAAAGTTGTAATGACACAATATCAATCTTTCTTTTTCCTTTATAAAAAGTTTCTAATGGAAGTTGTCTTTATCGCACTCAGCCTATATAACTGATATTACAAACTAAAAAAGGTCAATTCTATGAGTTGAATAAAGAAAGATTATTAAAATAGCAGTTGTTAGAGAGAATAAGTTGTAATCCCACAATATCGCCCTTTCTTTTTCATTTATAAGTTGTCTTTGTTACTCATTGTCTATATTGCAAACACTTTTGCATCTACCTGTGTTAGGTGCATTTATTTACTTACAGGAGAACAAAATTCTTCAAAAGCTGGTTTCACAAAATTCATGTACTGATTCAAGACCTGATCCAGATCTCTACCCCTTTCGTTTATATCTCGAGGAACTAAAAAATAATACAACATAATCAAATTCCAAGTAAACTGTAACATTCTTATCATAACATTGTAATCTATTATATTAGAGGAATGAAATAAAATAATAACAAACCTCTTCTAGCTAATCTAGTATCGGAATCAGTATCTACGAATAACTTCATATGGAACAAATTCCTAACATCCGGAAAGTAAAATACTAGGATTCCTTCGAATAGCACAACATCCGCAGGATATATCGTGAGAATTTCATTTTTACTTCTACAATACAAACGCGAATAGAATACAGTTCGATTGCAACGAAATTTCAACTTACACAGAGTTATTTCTGTAATCGTATGCAGGTATTTGCACAATTTTGCCATTTAAAATATCCTTTAAAGTATCGTACATCAAGGCTTGGTTAAAAGCATCGGGATGGTCGAAATTAAACTGGCCTTTCTCTGCTTTGCTAATTTCAGAAGGACTCAGTTCTCGATAGAAACTGTCTTGAGAAATGCTAACTACCTGCCTGGTTTTTTGGTCCATGTCTACTTGTCCTAATCTTTCCATAATTCTTTTACAAACAGTGCTCTAAAATTTGAAATAATTTAACTATATGCAAACGAACCATTCAGAGATATCCATACCTTTCCACTAGCAGTGCCTCCTGCGACTCCTATTAAAAAGGGCTTGATTTTCACATCATTCGTCGGCAAGTCCGCTTCACTCATGATTCTTTTTTTTATACTACTGACTAGTTCAAATTATTTATTTTATTAAGTCGAATTTACTAGATTAGCAGTCTATCTAGCACGCATTTTGGGCTATATACCATATATGACATATGTCATTATGTCAATGCCATGTCAATTATGTAATTCCCAAACATGGCCGTGTTTATAAGGTCTGGAAACTCTGTTGAGGTAATCGAGGAAGTTTCATGAGAAATCCGCTTGGATCGCTAATGTCAGGTGGAGTTCTCAATACACTTCGGTGCGATGCACGAATATGACATGGCATTTTATCATCAAATTAAATTTTAATTGTAGATTAAATAAAAATAAAATTGGCGTGATGTGCTTACGATAAAGAAGTTTCCGGACCTGTTGTTATTATACTCCCGTGTTCCCAAAACACAGTTCAACGTTGCCAAATCTTCTCAAATTAAAGGATAAATTATCAATAAACTTTTCAATATAAGATACATTTCTTAAAATAACCATAAAATACAAACTCACTTCACTACATATTATCTACGATATTACACATAACTCTGTCTAAAATATAACAAGAATCTTGAGAACCATCCGAATTTTCATTTTTTTCCTTCTTCATAAGCAAATCTGTTTCGGATATTATAGCCGAATCCAATTCCATGGGTTCCGGAAGACTTTGAATGGCTTGCTGAAGAATATCCATCACCTTATCGAGATGTTTTTGAAACCTACAAATCACTAAAGTTATTACTATACACTATTTAAATTAAACACTATTACCTATTGGCTGTTTCAATTCGCTGCCTTTTTTGAAGTTCCATCATAACCCTTAACGTTTCTCTAGCTTGGTGGGGCCTGAATTCGTTGAGTAAATGATGTATGTGGATAAACAAGAGACTCAAGTCTTCTACTTTTTCAGCTCGCCTAGGAGATTCCGGGCAATTAACTAGCAAATCTAGCAGATCCAAAAAATTAGCTAATAGAGATTGATTGAACTTTTTCAGCTCCCTTCTCCTATCAAAATGTAATGGATATAACCTTTTGATGCCCTGAAAAAATTGTTTATTAATATAAGATATAATTTATTCTATCACTTAATTACTTGACTCTCTAGTGGCCTAATGATATTTTCTTCTGTATTAAAGGCATTTCCGAACATATGATAAGTATCTTGAATAGGTGGCGGTGGTTTTGGGGCCCTTCCTCTTCTAATAGCATCGTCTGTATATTGGCTGACATATTGCATAGGTGGTAGAGGCAGTGAACTCACTTGCACTGTATCGGAATTGGCCATTTTATTATAAAATACTACTTTATTTACTAATAATACTAATAAAATGCTACAAAATGGGTATCAAAACAAAAAATTGACAACTGATGTGACATTGACATATTGAATTCTTCTTTTTTGTTAAAAAAAGTTTCAAAATAACCGAACAGTAATAGTGAATGGTGTGATGAATAATTTTTCAATTTTCGCTGTCAATTTCCCATTTTTTTAGACATAAATAAAGGAATTATAGTTAGTTTGCGGAAATTTATTCTAGTAATTCAAACAGAAACTTCCTTGTAAAAGAGGAGTACAATACAAATAAACTTGAGCTATTTTTTAACTAAATCTATTTTATACTAAAAAAGTACATTTAAATAACACAATAATAAAATTTTAAATTATGACATTTTTAATAAACTAGTGAAAAATGGGAATAAAGCAGAATATCATGAGCGATAAAACTAACAAATTTTTAATAATGTTCGCCCATCAGGCTTACAACTAAGGCAGTCCACCCAGTAAAAGGTCTACAACCACTGCCCTTGCCATTTTTATCACTATACTGCTCCCAAATGTAGCCAGTTTTAAAGTACTGCTGCATAACATTGTTTATTATGTTCTCTCTGAGTTCTTTATATATTTTTCCAGCAAGTTGTTGGTAAGGTCCCTGTATGTTAGAATAATGATGCAGAGCCCTGGCAGCTAAGAAATTTATGTTCACCCAAATTTGCCCTCGCCAATAAGGAGGATCGTGTTCAGTATTACGTTTCATATAAAGAGGGGCAGTTTTCGATAACGATCTAAGACCGTACGGCGTCCACAATAACTCTGGGTTACGAATATTATCGAGAATTTTTTCCAATTTCGGTGAATCGGGTTTCAAAATTTGCAGTAGAAAAGGAAACAAACTGACGTAACCGAAAGTCGAATCCACCAAACGATATTCCGGTTTTTTGGTGACCACTCGTTGCATTTCCAAATTTTGATTTTGCGACCTCGGTTGCGGTTTGGGACGCACTAATTTCACAGAATCTGTATGCAAACCGTAATCTGCATAAACCTTTGCATACTCCGACCAATGGAGGCTATCCATCAACTGGAAAATAATGAATGTAAGTTTTACACAAACGCTTTGATTAAATTCTTTCAACACACCTCATTATTTAATAAATACGCCGCTGTTTGTTCGTATTTGTAACCATCAATGCCTAGAATATTAGCTAGACGAGCCATAGTTTTGGATGCTACAGCTATCCAACAGTACAAATCAATATGTCTCTCCTCATCTGTAGGATGCGAAGCCCTGGGATAATCATCCAAACCAGAAGTTAAAGTTTTCGGGTTTAACTCTCTATTAGTAAGCTCATCCCTTCCTCGCCATCTATAAGAGCCTGGTAAAGAACCCTTTTGCGTAGTATTAAACCAATTAAACCAAGCCTTTAAAGAAATATACAATTCTAGAAATAACCCGAGATTAATATGTATTTCTACTAACCTGTAATCTAGGATACAATCTTTCCAACGTTCTAAATCTTTCTCCATTCAACTCATTTTCGTATCTATTTAATATACTTTCCAGAGTCAAAAAAAATGTTGGCGGATTGGCGTTAGTGTTTCTTTGTACGACAAATTCGCTAGGGACTTTAGCTGTCGCTTCGACTCCGAGTATTTGCTCTCTAGGAATCCAGCCTTCAGCGTTGATTAGATCGAACCAGTGGCTAATGATGTCCAGTTCCATATCTACGTTCCATTGCGATATTAAAAGACCGTGGAAACCTTCATCCCAGAGAAAACCGCGAGGAAAGAAACTCCTAATAAATACAAATAAATCCGATTACTTAGATTAAATGTTTGTTGAATAAGATTGTTTAAAAACAGGTAAAACTGACCTTGAAGGGACGGCAGTGAAAAGTGGCGCCCTCCAGTAATAAACAGGTTCTTTAACATATTGACTTTGCACTTTTGAGGCACCATAGAAGTACCCAATGCCTCCTACCATGTTACTTAAAGCAGCCTGTGCAAATCCTATGCTTTTATCATCATATCTATAAATCGAAGGTGTTTACTAAGCTCATTATTGTGGAGATATATTTACCCTTTAGATTTCAAATTAAATAATTTTTCAAATTTTCTTGCAAATGCCTCTTTATGTGAATTTAGAACCTTTGTATAAGCATCATCAGCTTGAATAACTTGTTTTTCTGTTCCACTTTGGTATATTACATCCACTACAAATGGTATTCTTCCAGTTAATTGTATTGCTACGAAATTGGGATCGATCTAAAATAATTTCCAGTGTATTACTTTAATAAGTATGTTTGTAGAGTGTATGATTACTTTATCGTTTCCAGTAAATGACGGTAATTCTCCAGCTAAAATGATTTTTCTGTTGGCTGCTGAGCCAGCTTGATTATTGGTTTTAGCAAGTCTTAATGATGATATCACAGATTCTTTAAGTAGATGCAAACCGGGTGCTGCTGTGCTCAAGAAAGATTCATGATCTAAAATACCTAAAATAGGTTTCATTAATAACCCCCATATTCTCTTACAGCATTAGATTATTTTGTGTCTGAAGATGAAATTATTAACAATAACAATTATAGGATGAAAATAATAATATATGCACCTGATGAGTTCCTAAATTTTAATGTAAAATCCCCTAATGTAGAAGTACTTCCTCTAATTCCAGTGATTTTTGTTGCGGAATTTGTTGGTTCAATAAAACCTTTTGTACCATCATCTAGTGCCATGTACCAAATTAGAGACACATCCTCTTTATTTGGTACTGATTTGTCCTGAAATTAAATATTTTAAATAAATATTGTAATTAATTTATTGCACAATCATTGCTTACATGAAAATCAACTTCCACTCTAGCAGTCCAATCACCGCCTTTATCATTAACTCGACTTTTTACAAATGAAGTTGTTAATTTAAAAGGACCATCGATGATTTCTTGAATACCGAAGTTTTCACCGTCATGCTGCAGCCACCCGTATTTTTCAAGATTGTCTCCTTGCTCACACCAATGCCTAAACAAATTAATTAGTATGCAGAAACATGCAGACTATAAATTTATATTCTACCTAATTCCATCACCTCCAGGTCCCAACCTTTGAGGAAAATACCACATTAAACCCGTAACTAATGATGTAGGATCACGGGTTTTTAAACCGAAGTAGGTTCCAGGCCTGTATGTTCCCCAAAATAATTCTGGAACATCTAACCCACTGTTTATCACAACCTGAAATGTTTTATATGAGAGAATCGCTAAAAAAAGCTATACTATTCTTGCCTTTTTGTCATCAAAAGGGGTATTTAGCCTAGTCTCCAAGTAACCCATATAACCGAAAATTATTGCTATGCTAAGTACTATAATAACAACCAGCTGTTTCCAATAACCGAGGAAGTTAAAGGAGCTGGACGATTTCGTTTTCGAAGCAATACTTCCATTACTACTACTACTGTTAGTGCCTTTATCGACTTTATTGCTATCAGAATTTGGCTGAGATCTTCTTTGGCGAACCATTTTGCTATTTGTAATATCTACATATTACTTGTAACTAAAGATATGTTTTTAAATTATATCTATAAGAATGGATCATTATCGGACAAATAAACGTATCACCATAACCTAAAAACAAGATAACATATAAATGTCAGACAATGGCCTGTGACAAGTAAGACAATGAGTTACCATTAGTGATTTTACAATTCATATAATTAGGTGTGGTTAATTATGACTTTAATTTATCTTTAAATTTGTAAATTTTTATTAGAAATTTATGATAATTTTGTATTTATATAAGTTTTTAATCTTGGAACTGTATGTCAGTGTTGTTCAAGAACATTTTTGATCATTCTCTCTTCTTTTTAATTCCCAATTTATTCACATTTCTTTTAGGTTAAGGTTCACATAAATAGTTTTTCTTTAAAATTATTTAAAAACCCTTATTAATTCGATTTGAAGTTTAATCAAATAAATGGAGTTTAATTATATTTTAAACCAGCTAGAAAATGGTACAGAGGAAACGTTTAAAACTAATTGCTTGCTTATCTCTACAGGTAATAAAATGTTCTCATTTAACTTTTGCTCAATTTTAATTTTCTTAGGTATTCGAGAAGGTAAATCGACTATTCTCGAATTAATAGAATCTTTAGGGCGTTTTCTAACCGATGCGTCGATTTCTAAACGAGAATTAGGCATTTCTATATTGAATGAAGTACTCAAAAGCATTCCCATCGATTACTTGAGTACTCAACAATTGGAAGTACTAGTTGAATTCTACAGTAGTAAATTTAATGACCACCATCAGGTAATTAATATATTAGCTGCGTAATAACATAAATTAAACTATGACCTTCTTACACAACAAATATTGTAATAATCAGTTTCAACATTCACTTGTTAAATGTAAATAATTAATTATCATATTTTAGATATTCCCAGTTGCCTTATCAGGAACATTAGTTCTACTAGGATTTGAAAACTTTCCTAGGCCAAAATTAAGTCACATATTAAGTGCTATTTTCCAGCATGTACCGTGTCAGCAACAACAAAGAGTGGATAGGTTTACGATTTTCCAAATCCTGGAAATTTGTATAAAGAATTTCAAGCAGGGTAATTTTTAATTTTTTAATATGTATTTCAAGTAAATGGTGCTTTTCAGAGGTTCATGATATGGAAAATGTTTTTGTATGTGGACTTCATGATGCTGTCGATGGTGAAAGGGACCCGAGGAACTTGCTATTTCTACTAAAATGGATGAGAGAATTTACTAAAGAGTTCAAGTTGTATTTCTTTACTGAAAAAATTTTTGATGCATTGGCTAGTTACTTTCCCGTCGACTTTAGAACGCCTTTAAATGATAATGTAAATTTAAATTAATGAATTTACTGTTTCCATTTATTAATATTTGCTTTTTTAGAGTATAACTAGGGAAGATTTAGCAAATGCGCTATGTCCATGTCTATGTGCTAATCCAGAGTTTGGAGATTCTTGCATTTCATTAGCTTTAGAAAAATTGGATTCTTCATTAGAAATTGCTAAACTAGACAGTTTAGCGCTATTGGTAAGTATTAACTATATAGTTTAATTAACATTAAAATAATTGTATTACTTTAAGAGAGAAGGGTGTTCTACATTTAAAAGTTCTTTATATATGGAGCAATTTCCAAACATATGGCCCTTGATACAAAAAGAAGTACTATGCACTAATTCACCAACGATTCGAACAGAAAGTTTTTTAACTCTTCAAAAGATTGTATCCAAAATTTCAACTGAGGATTGTTTAGGACATATTAAAAATATAATAGATACGGTTAAAGGAAATTTACTTCCAGATTCCAAGTTATTTCAAGTTTCGACGCAAATTCTTATTTGCACTGCAGCAGCCTCGGAAAAATCCTGCAATTTTATCGTAAAAGAAATTTTACCGATAATTATGAATATATACAAAATGTGTGCTTATGTGGATCACAAATCGCTGATTGTCCAACCTTTAGTAGATTTAATGAAGGAATATTTCAAGTATAATAAAAGTTTAGATGACCAAGAAGTTCCTGATTTATTAAATGTTCCTTTATTATGCTTGGATTTGCTTAAAAACGATGATACTTTAAAAATCGGCTTGGATTATATTACCGTCCTGATACCTCATTTGGATTCAAAAGTAAGCTTAATATGCTTTGTTGGTAAATTATGACAAATTTTGATTTTAGAATAGAGAAACTCTATATTCAGAGATACAAAGGATAATGTTCAAGATAATTAATGAACAAACAATGCTTTCATTAATACAGTTATTAATCACTTGTGCTGGTTATTATCCTGAGGAGGTGAAATGTAAAATTTTTACGATCGATTCTCAGTCACATCTACCAGATGCATTTTTAAGATCACTGGCGCATTTAGTGACTTTACAAAACTTCAAAGACTACGTTATTAGTACTTACTTAGAATTACTTAAAAAGAATGTACAATCTGAAACAGTAATGAAGCATTTGAGATATTTAGTGGAGCAACAACGAGATAATTACGATTTATTAAGGGAATTGATAGAAAAGAACGTTTTATGTTGTATTTATGATTCGTATGTAAATAGCCAATTTTTCGAAACAAATATCTCGCAAGATGTTTACACCATTATGACATTGCTGGTAGCTCTTCAACCCAGCGAGTTCCAATCGAAAATCCTCGGCGATTATTTTGAAAGAATTTTTTTACAAGAGATGAATGAGAAGACATTTATTATACTGTATGGTCTAACAGCAGCTTTAAGAAGGGAAGTTCAATTGGACAAACGGGTGTTCGAGGTGGCTTTAAAAATTTCTGAAACCAGCAATAATGAATTCTTGGTACATATTGCTGTTCAGTTATTAGGCAATCTTGTGAACAAAATTGAAGATGGTAAGATAAACTGTTTATTTTTAATCGTTTAAATAATATTATTTTAATTGCAGTTGTTCAGTTAAAGAATTTTTATCTTCTTGTAAGATAATTACTACTCAAAAATCTTTCCAAAGAGCTTGCTTTATAACTAAAGGTTTAATTCTTAGAAATTACCCTGATGGTTATGGATGGTTGCATTTAGTAAGTTGCTTATATAAATAATAATTAATTTTTGCTATGATTGAAAATGGTGAATATTAGATTATAGATTCACTGCGACATTTTCCTAATTTCATAGAAGAAAGCATACAAATACTAATGAATGATGATTGTATAAGTTTCAGTGAAGCATTTCATTGTCAAAGATTGTAAGTAAATTTTAAATTTGTATTGCAAATATTCTAAAATAATTTTTTTTCCAATTTTAAGCTCTCTCTACAAACAGAAAGCTTTCAATCTTATTGCAGAAAAAATAATTGAGGATTATAGTAAAAACAAGGGGATAAAACATTATTTTTGACTGCATTAGCTTATTTATGCGAATATGTTCCGCTACAAGCAGTTTTGTTAAAATTCTCCAAGGTAATTATTGTTTATTTCTCATCTTACATTTTTATCACAAGATGAGTATAAATTTTATTTTTTCAGATTGCTCCATTACTGATTCTTTGTCTAGAACAAAGCGAAGAACCCAAAGTTCTCTGTGTTCTCATAACACTCTTAAGAAAAATCGTTTGCCACGATTGTAAATATTTACAGGGTAGTTTTAACGAATTCCTCACCGGTATATTGAAACAATCTACATTCAAGCTAATGGTAATGTATCACCAAGTTCGTACGTTTTAAAATGGCAATGATGTCATTCAGTAATTTCCATGCAGTTCAAAATGTCTCTAGTGCCAATGTTAATTCCCCATGTGACTTGGGGAATTTCACCTTGCGCGGTTGAATTTCCGATGCGTTTTTGCCATATCGTTAGTCTCAAAATCCGCTCTTTGTGGTTGACACGTTCTGACTACAATTCGTTGTTTTTGTGACTTTTCCAGCGATTTTTGTCTTTTCTGCAGCGCTCTAAATGATTTTAGCCAGTTCTAAATGATTATGGATCGATCTAAATGGTTCTGGAACGTGCAAAATGATTCTGGAGCGTTCTAAATAGTTCTGAAGCGTCCTAAATGGTTCTGCATAAATGGTTCTGAAACATTCTAAATGATTCCCAGCAATTTTTCCTTTTTTGTTTTTTAAGTTTGCCTTTGTCCTGTTTTTTAATGTTGAGTTAAATTAATACTAGTTCGTTAAATTACACGCGATGTTCTTTTTGACGTTTAAACTTGTGACTATTTGTGACTTTTTAATTTGTAAACATTGATTGAAAGTAAAAATACCTTAAATTAAATGTGTCGGTCATATAAAGGATCAATTACAACTAGGCAACATTGCAACATGCTGGCTCATGATGTCATTGTCATTTTAAAACGTACGAGCTATAGAATAAGAAGTTTATTAAAAATTTTTGAAGTGGATTAAACCTAGTTGTGATGTCATGAAATTATCATGAACCTACTCTAACCGTTTACTCTAATGTTTAATATACTAGCAAAGTATTTATTATATTTTTTGTTTTAGAGCGTACGAATAGAGTGCTTGAAATGTTTGACTTTGTTCACTACTGTATATCCCGAAATGTTACTATTGCCATATAAATCAAAAGTGCTTAAGCAACTGGCTGTTTGCGTGGATGATAAGAAACGACTCGTTCGAAAAGAAGCAATGGAAGCCAGAGCATTTTGGTGGATGGTCGGAGAGAACGTGTAAATACTTAACATATTTTTGAAGCGCTTGCTAGTTTTGATTTTGGTAAAGTATAATTTTTTAAAGAAATTATCCGTTTTGATTACCTGACATGCCTACAACAAGTTCAAGTACGTATCGTGGTGGAATAGAAGCTTAGCTTTTCAGTAGAGCTTTACTTTTCTACCGGTATGTTCGACACTAAAAATAGTAAAAAAATCATCCACTTCGTCAATTTCATTGTGCGCGCAAATTCAACCAGGCAACCTTAAAACAAACTGCTGTAATCCGAACATTTTTTGTCTAAAATAGATTCGATTCCCAGCTATTCGCCGATTAGTCGATGCGCTTGTTCGCATCGAATGCAACAATAATTTGATAAAAGAAGAAAATATATTATTCGATCAAAGAGAGGCCTATGCACAATGCATTACAGTCGAATGGCGTTTTTGAATTATGTGGACTATTGCCGATACAAGCATGGATGAATTTGTACCACTACACAGTGGCCCAAATACAAACAACTACACCTTTTACCAACAACTTCTACGAATTTAATTTGCATTTTTTTAATTATTAAGCATTATAAATTCGTTAATTTACTAATTAATCCAACGTAAAAACTCCCGTGCATTTTGTCTACGAAACTTTTTTGGATGAATAGGATTTTTTTTGGAGCTCCGTGTATGCACAAAAGTCTTTCGTCGATTCAGGCATGGATGAATTTTAGTGCAACTGTGCGATATTCGTGCATGCTCATAAGTTATCACAGTTCGTACTTTTTTTGCGAAAAAATTTCAAATCCTCGTTGCGATATACCGACGTGGCATGCGATGTCACCTGAGCGTTAAAACAAAGTTGGCGATGAACGAAGTTGCATTTTCTTGTTTTTTTTTTCGCCTTTTTTCCATCGTTGGCAAACATCGAGAAAATGTCGTTAATTTTTTAGGAGATTAGCGACGAGATATATTTTTTTGGGTAAAACATATTTTAATTTAATAGAAAATACCGGCAATACGATGGTGAGTTGAGTTGGGTAAATTGGACGCAGAAATTATTTCAGTTATTACCTGTAAGATTAAAAGGGTATTTTAATCCTATAGGTAAATAGGGCGCAAGAATATTTCAAGTAGAAAAGGGGATTTAAATTAATTGCAAACTTTGAAAATTTTTGGCGTTGGCGTAAAAAGCAGAGTTGAGTAGAGGAGAGGGAAAGGAAAGGAAAGGAAAGGAAAGGAAAGGAAAGGAAAGGAAAGGAAAGGAAAGGAAAGGAAAGGAAAGGAAAGGAAAGGAAAGGAAAGGAAAGGAAAGGAAAGGAAAGGAAAGGAAAGGAAAGGAAAGGAAAGGAAAGGAAAGGAAAGGAAAGGAAAGGAAAGGAAGGGAAAGGAAAAGGAAAAGGAAAGGAAAGGAAAGGAAAGGAAAGGAAAGGAAAGGAAAGGAAAAGGAAAAGGAAAGGAAAGGAAAGGAAAGGAAAGGAAAGGAAAGAAATTTAACAGTTTTAGTACCGAAGACGGGGAAGATGAGGCATAAAATATTAGTTTTGGCTATTCTAATAATAGAAATTTAAAGAATTCTGAATATCTATACCTCATATAGGTATTTACTCATAAATGATTCTCGATTGTTCTGATTCGTCCTGAAGCAATTTTAATGATTTTGGACTGTTCTAATTCGTCCTGAAGAAATCTAAATGATTCTAGACTGTTCTATTCAACAGTTTTAGTACCGATGACGGTGAAGATGAGGTATAAAATATTAGTACTTTTGGCTATTCTAATAAAAATTTAAAAAGAAATCTAAATTCTTATACTTTATATGCTTACTCGTCCTGAAGCAATCTAAATGATTTAGGCCAGTTCTATTTTATCCTGAAGCGATCTAAATGATTATGGACTGTTCTAATTCATCCTAAAGCAATCTAAATGCTTCTGGATTGTTCTAATTCGTCCTGAAGTAGTCTAAATGATTCTGGGCAGTTCTAATTTATCCTAAAGCGACATAAATGAATCTGCGCTGTACTAATTCTTCCTGAAGCGATCTAAATTCTGGATTTCTGCTCCTGAAGCAATCTAAATGATTTCGGCCAGTTCTATTTTATCCTGAAGCGATCTAAATAATTCTGGACTGTTCTAATTCGTCCTGAAGCAATCTAAATGATTCTGGACTGTTCTAGTTCGTCCTGAAGCAATCTAAATGATTCTGCACTGTTCTAATTCGCGCCCAATTTATCTATAGTTTTAAAACCTATAATCCTTTTAATTAATTTGCATCCGTCTAAGTTTATTTATATAGTCATTAACTGAAAATTCCTTGAGTTCGCAAAAGTGTAAAAACATAGAGGGAAGAAATAGAGGGAGTTTTATTAACTAACAATAAAAAATTCGTAGATAATCAATAAAGTAATACTTGAAGTATTTCGAACAAAAGTATATCCACACACGTGTATACTTTAAAAACCCACAATACCGCTCAATAGAGCTCAACCGTTCAGTCATCCCTGCGAGGCATAAAAAACGCAGCCTAATCGCCATCAAGTGACAGCCTTCATAGACATAGAGAAGGCGACGAACGCAGGCGGGCGAGCCGTCGGGGGACCACCGACCTATACCAACCCACACCTCCAAAAAAACCCGAAGCCAAACCACCCGAATGCGGCATTGTCTGAGAGCCGTTGCCCGTAAGCCGTAATCGCAGTCTTGATAGAGGCTGGGTAGGAGTAGCGACGTCGCGTAGACGTCACTGACCCCGGCATCGTGCACGCATTATTACGGCGTGACGTCACGGGGCAACGAACCAGACCCAGACTGCCGTATCGATTCGCACTCTTCGCACTCTTCGCACACACACACATACACACTATGGATGTGGATGGATTTGCATCGGATTAGGCGGCGCAAGAACTTACTTGTTGGATTTGCGGATTCGACGGCGATAATTTCATCAAAGTTGCTGGTTACGTAAGAGCAAGATGCGGATTCGTCTCTGCAAACTGCTCTGGCGTGACGAGAAGCGGAGGAATTTTGGTTCAATTAGCTGATTTGTAGGTGTAGTTAGGGATCCTACTCTTTAACCTCATGGCTTCGCCCTTTAGTAACTGGCGGCGGTGGTAAATTGGGAGCAGAATTCTGAATTCTTACACTTTATATATTTACTCGTCCTGAAGCAATCTAAATAATTCTGGATTGTTCTAATTCGTCCTGAACCAATCCTAATAGTTCTGGATTGTTCTAATTTGTCCTGAAGCAATCTAAAAGATTCCGGGCAGTTCTAATTTGTCCTGAAGCGATCTAAATGATTCTGGATTGTTCTAATTCTTCCTGAAGGAATCTTAATGATTCTGGATTGTTCTAACTCGTCCTGAACCAATCCTAATAGTTCTGGATTGTTCTAATTTGACTTGAACAATCTAAAAGATTCCGGGCAGTTCTAATTTGTCCTGAAGCAATCTAAACGATTCTGGATTGTTCTAATTTGTTCTGAGACGATCTAAAAGATACCGGGCAGTTCTAATTTATGATGAAGCAATCTAAATGATTCTGGACTGTTCTATAAATTCGTCCTAAAACAATCTAAATGATACAGGACAGTTCTAATTTGTCCTGAAGCAATCTAAATGATTCTGGACTGTTCTAATTCGTCCTAAAGTAATCTAAATGATTCCGGGCAGTAATAAATACCCTATTAGTTCTATTTACTAATTAATTAACGTTTCTTTTATTTGAAATAAATTTCAATTAGGTAAATACTTATCATTTTCTCTTTATGTTCTCTATGTAGATTCGTGAGTACTATTCGGCTCTCAACTCTCAGCTCGAAGTCTTTGCACAAAGAACTGAGAGGAATATTTAATTAAAAAGGATTTTAATCTGTATTAACGCGTTTCTAACGACACACCTGCTAGTTAGTGGGTGAGCAAAACTCCCTGAAATTTTGACAAAAACCCCGAACGGCAACTAAAAACATGTTAATTAAAAATCCTCGACTACGGCCAAGTCGCGTTTTATATACCCCCTTCCAATTTTTTTTCGTAAACGAACTAGAGTTTCTGCAAACGAGCGATCAAGCGCGAAACGAAAAAAAGGAAACGCAAAAGAAGAAAAAATACACGGTAACCCGCAGTTCGCTTTGAGTTTTCAGCTCTTCGGCGTATAACTATGAGCAAGCAAGCGGAATGAGTATTGTTAAGAATTCCGTGCGATGTGTCTCAGTCTGGGGCGTGCGATACGAGTCAACTAGGCTGCGGAAAGTACTGATAAAATGCTCTTATTAGAGGTGGGACATTGAGGAACTTTATCTGCGTAAATGGAGTACCTATTTTTGGGAATTTATTTGCAACTTCATCATTTTTATGAGCCACATTTTAGCAATTATCACACAGCTTTTGCAATTATCTAAAAATGTTTTTTCTGCAAATTACTATTTTGTCAAAAAAGTACCATTCCATTTGTTAACTTGGATTTTCGATAAAATGGAGTCACCTTAACATTTACAATGATTCAGCCCACAATTTTTTTTTCAATACCCAATAAGACATAAGACATATAAGACAAACTCTTTGTTTATTATTTTTGTCCATTGATGTTAAATTCGTAGAGTACTATCAAGAGGAACTGAATCAAGTACTTTTTTGTCAGAAGGTATATATTACAGTTATTACCCTCATTTTCATACATTTCTTTAAAAGAATCGATACCACAAATTCGATAATTATTGGATAGGTACAGTGGACTAGGTGATTTTGTAGATACTTTATTAATCTCGTCCACCTCTAGAACGTACGAACAGAACTTCGTGCGTCTTGGAAGCGCTGAAGAGGAAAAACGCCGTACCTACTCCCATTCGACGGAGGAAGAAGAAGAAGAAGATGCACGGCTCACGCCTCGCGCCTCACGGTTCTTCCCCTGCGTCGCCTCTCTGAGGATGGAAATCGTGACGAGATCTCGCGGGCGCGTGACTGCATCGACTTTTATTCACGCATCATTGGCCATAGTAAGTTCCCGAGAGAAGGCCCCCCGCCGGTCCCGCGGCCCCCCTAACGCACTTCCACGCGATTTTTTTTTATTCGGATTGTTATCTTGTGATGTATATTGCTTTTGTTCGGGTTGTGGGAGTCTCGAGACGGTATCGATGTAGGTGCATTTTTTTTGTACGTTCAGTTAGGCGAACAAAGGAAAACATTGGCTACTGAGTTTTTCTAAAATGTGCAAAAAAAGAAATGTAAAAATTCCTAAAATGGGTATCCACATTTTTGCTATACAG